GAGACAGTTGTTGTCTTGCAACCTCTCTGCCTCCAGTCGAGGGCTGGGAAGGGCTCCTTCCAACACCTGGGAAAGCCCTTCAAGCAAAAAAAGAACTTGGTGTAAATTACTGCAACTTTCTGCCAATACAAATTGCCCAAATTCCATTCACACCGATAAAGCAAGCTTTATTGTCAGTCAAAGTTCAAGGTCATTTCCTCAAAAAACACACACACAAAAAAGACACAGACCCTTTCAGAACTTCATTTTATGAAATTATAATTAAAATAATGCATTCACAATTAAGCTCTGCCATAAAAAAAAAAAAGTTTATCCAGATGTTGTAACAAGCATTTCTGCAAAACATTCTAGGCAATCTTATTTATAAAGTGTTGTCTAACTCTAAACGGATCTCTCTTAGTAAAGTAGCCCTTTCCTGCTAAGCCCATTATTCATTCCTTTAAGAGGACTATTTTAAAGGAATTATTCCTTTAAATGTATTTATTTATTCCTTTTGAATTCCTTCAAACCTTCCTTTGTAAGTGAAGTAGTTTTCAAAATAGTAAGGGTTAAAAAGTGGCAAATACAACCAATCTCCACCAGCTAAACATTCGTGTAGTTTCAGAAAGACCTACATATGGAAAGTTCCCACTTATCGTATATTCTGAGCTATCACTTCTGACTGCCGGTAATTGCCAACATGTTCAGTTTGCTTAGCAACAGTTCTACAGTAGATGAACCATTTGCGCTATCTTAAAAGTAAGACACTTGCAGATTCTCTAGATGTTTATGATGTTTCCATTGATTTTCTGTTAATGTGTGTGACATCTCAGTGGGACTGTCCGAATGGATTTGTCCAAATTTTCCCTTGGTGTACCTTAAGGAAGGTTGAAGCGCTCATAACACTGACCCCTTTTTCCTCTGTGGAATCATTTTTCTTTTGTTACTTGAGGATGAAAACATTTTCAGCATCCCTACAGACTTATTTCAGTGGCAATTATCCCTCTACAATAGCATTACAGAAAATGACTTCTGCAAAAGTTGTGCTAGTGCCAGTCACCATCTTCTACAGACTCTTAACAGAAAAGTGAAAGAAAAATGCAGTTCTGGCTTCAGATATGGCTCTGTGCGCATCAAGGCAAGTTGTAGTCACAGCTGTTATCTGCTTAACAGGAGGACCCAGTTTGACAAAAACAAGTAAAGGGTTGGTTATGCGAGTAGTGCATCCATCAGATATGAGTCAACAAAAAACTCCAACTACGTGAAGGGTTATGAGCAACTACAAGCAATCCACGGGGCGACTGGATTTAGTGCAACTGTCCTTATCTTCTGTTCCTGTGTCATTTGTGATGAAAACCTCTGCTAATTAAGTTTACTAAACTGTGACATGCCAAAACTTGAGAAGTTTAAAAGCTAAAGCATTTCTCCACACTCAGCTTTGTGCCATAACCACCACACATAACCTCCTACGATGCCAGCCTTGAGGCAAGGGTCTTCTTGAGCTGCAGATACGGCACAAGAAGCGAAACTCACATACCCATGAGCTATGCCTTGAACTTGAGCGGAGCCCAGAGACAGGGATTAACATTAACCCAGATGCCCTCCCCTCTGGGCTGCCATTCCTCTTGCACAGGCCTGTGGCTTAGCATGTACCCCCTGTCCTTCTGCTCTGAGCTTGGGGCCAGCTAGGTTTCCTCCCAATGCCTCTCTGCTCATCCCTCCCTTCACAAACTGCCTCTTCAGCCTCCGCTCTGTTGCCAGCCAAGTTGTGGTTTTCCTTTCCCTCTCTGCCAAGCTCCAGGGGCACAGTTAAGCAAGGCTCTGCTGCATGTGGCGAAGACGGCCACGTCACTAGAGTGCTCCAGAGGTGTTTCTGAACTCCGGCAGAACCTCCATGTGATGAGGCATATGTAACCTTAACACTGGCATTTTCTAACTTTTGATGATGTAACGTGCCACAGAAACTTTCCCATGAACAAACACAAACCAAAAATGTTTGACGTGACAAACTCGGTATTGAAGACTGTTCTAAAATAAGTCAATAGAGTAACGTTTGGTATACACTGCTCTCCAACGTGTTATTTTTACTCGTTTGGAGGTTCTAAATTTCCTCAAAGTTGCATGGCATTAACTAGGGAAGTGATGGACCAGTTGGTGCAGTTACACTGTTGTTACTGTAAATTCTTAAAGAGAGGCTCCAGTAGATTTCAGTGCAATGGATTAAGACATTCCCTTAGCTGCCATTTTTGGACTTCTACCAGGCATCATTGTCCTCTGGAGCAGAGGCAACAGAAGAGTATTTGTTCCAAGTACTCCAGATCAGATACTGCTATTTTAACACTAACCCACCTTTGCAAGTCTGGAAATCAGGCACGCATTCACAGCATAGCTTTAAAATATGTAATGACGACTGTTGAACTTTGATACCCTTCCATAACAGACAAGATTTAAATGTGCCACCAAATTACTCTCTTCCTCCTTTGATATCGGACAAAGAACAAAAAGACAAAAACGGGGAATTTGTATCCTGCGATACACCAAGCGAACTATCAAAAAGCACCAGGATAGGTGTGAGCCCCACAAAACATACAAACTTGAACATATGTGAACGCCGAGGCCAAGCAGACAGTTGCAAGTTCAGACCTTTGATCTTACCAATCTGTGGACTCCAATCCATCACAATTACTGTTGGTTGGTGAATATCAAGTAAAGCCAACAGAAATTGCAACACTCCCAGTACACAAAACAGCAAGGAGCTCATTAGTCAGTAGCAGAAAACAAGCATGGTTTTGGAATGTAAAAATCTCCCAAACAACTAAATGCAGAGAAAAAGCAAAGCCAAACACTGAGACAATGTTACTAAATACTGTGCTGATTGTTTCTCTTCTTCTGTGCCACTCCCACAGTCTGAGCAACTTACAAGCCCTCTCCAGTTCACTGGCCTGTGCTTATGGCATGTTGCACTACTGTTACCTCGCCCGTAACAAGTGCTGGCACATCTGCAAGAATGAAAAACCTTAAGTAAATTGCAAAAGCTAGAAATAAGGCCTCAATCCGGAAGACACAAAAGTGCATCTTGCTGGAAGAGTTACAAACAGAAAGTGACAGCTATCAACAAATAATTACTAGCCACCTTCAGAGGAACAGAATGGCAGCATCCCCTTAAGAGCCAGTCCTTCAACAGCCACAGTAGAGTATTAGAAAACTGGCACATTCAGAATAAAGGTATGATTCTTGGGGGAAAAGTTTTTTGATGACTACTAAGGGACCTTTTAAGTTCTCTATCACTTTCACTGTCTGTGGAAAATAAAAATGTCCCTGAAGTAGTTTACATAAGAAGTTAAAAGCAAAGCCAGAAACTACTAAAGTAGACAATTCTCGTATTGTTCCTAGAAAATACTTGTTAAGAGCAGTTCCCAAGCTCAGTCCCAAACATTAGATCTTTTCCTCTAAATATTCACCTCCCAAAGAAATCTGCCAAGATTGTAAAATACAAACACTGGTTAAAAGTTAGGTTGTTTTTTGTGGTTTTCCGTTTTTTTGTTTGTTTTGGTTTGGTTTGTTTTAACGGTAGGGTTTTTTAAATTAAGCTTTACATTTTATGGGTTTTTTTTTGCTATTGGATTCTAAAGCATTTTACTTGACTTGTAAGAAGTTTGCTGTACTTATTCCCAAGATTTTCACTTGCATGGCAGAACCCTTCACCTCTTATTTTTCCACTTTCCCGAATATTACACCGAAATTAATAAAAGAAATAAAGTATGTCTATACTATACATGGCAGAATCTTTTCCCCATAAACACCTATCCTCATCCTGCAAATACTTCATGCTCTTTACTTCTTGAGCAAGAACCTGCTTACAAAATTCACCTCTGATATAGCACACAGGAAGTTTTACTCAAACTTTAAGACTAAGACAGAAGACTCCAATTTCCTGGCAAATACCAATTACTCCTTCATTCCCACAAATTTCCTATTAATTTTATCCCTACCATTTTTCCCAATTATATTTACATAATTAATTTTCAAAAAAATCCAAATGACAATATCTCCACAGGAAGACTGTCCTCTTCTAGCAAAGGCTGTCGGAAATACATCTCTCTGAACGAGAGTGATCCAGCACGGCAATCCCAGCGGATGGCCACATAGCCCACTGAGGTTCTACACGAGGTGTCCATTCATAATACTTGATCAGTTATACGGAGCCACTCCTTGTCATTTTGAATTGCTATAACTTTCTGTATGAATGGACTGGTATTGATGGCTTAATAGAGTAACATAGGATTTCACGGATAAGAACGTTACAGTACACACTTGAAAAATAACAGGAAAAAATCTATTAACTTTGATGACCTTAACTTCTGTCTTCAATAAATTCCAAGCTCTGATTGCTTGTGCAAAGCAAACCTGTTCCTACCCTCAGGATTACTGACAGTTCAAAAGCAGCTGCTTTTCTGACAATGAAGATGAACACAGGCTTAACCAAGATTTAAAGTTACACTTTTTGATATATAAGGAAAGGGAAATTTAAAAAGGAACACTAACACACAGGAAATCTTGAAGATCAACCCCAAGAACTCTTCCAGAAGACATCTGGCAAACTAGTAATACACCCAGTCTCTTCAACTACTTTAAAACGTTCATTACGTGTGATGCTTTTCTTGTAACTAGGTACTGCAGAAAGAGCACCTACTCATCATAAACAGCTGTCACTGTCTCCACAGCTATCAGAGGTGTAGATACTGAAGAGAGAGCTGCTGGCTGACATTTGCATGATTTAAGGACATTTTTGATACAGTTTATCATCATGCATAGTTGCCTGGCCTTTGCTGTCACAGAGGGGTAATACAGAGTTAGTAAACTGCATCTTTCAGGATGCAAATGCTTGCTCATTTAATGCTACCATTTACCTAGAACAGAGGAAGTACAAGCCTATAAATGAGAAAAGATTCTTTTCCGTGAAGCATTTTATATTATAATCGAGTTCAGATTAAGCTACAAAAATAAGACTTTCAAGTAGCAATAGTAAAGAACATTTTATTAAAATGGAAGTTTGTCAAACCTCATGTATCAAAACTAAGGCCACAGCTAATCCTAACACAAAGTCAACCTCAAAAGGTTCTTATAATATGATACAATTTAGAAATCTTATACAAAGCTATTTTACAAATGAGTACTCAAATGTTCTGAACTGCAGCATTACTTACTTGTTCTAAAATGCTATATAAGTTATTCTAGTGATAATATTTAATGATACAAAGTAGTGAACTATCAGTGCATATAACCTGTCTTTATTTTGGTCCTGTGAGGAAAGTAATTTTCTGCATCACTCCAGCTACAGAAATGAATGGAAGTACAAAACATTGCAATGGAAGCTGCCAATGATTCCTCCCTTTTGTGCTGAGTTCACTTCTTTTCTTCTAATGCTAAATATCTCCAGTCATAATAGCAATGAACTCTTCTTGATTGACTGTAGAAAAAGAGAAACTGGTTAGACCAACAGCAAACATCCACAATACACAAAAGAAAATAATGCGTATCTGTATTATACTTTTCCCAGTTAGTATGCATTGTGTCTAATCCTTTACTAACCACGGTTTACAAGTTTGGATTTTTTGCTTCTAGAACAACAGAGGTTTTGCACTTTTTTTTTCATGCAAAAGGAAAAGTCTGAATGCAAGCTTAATTATGTGGAATACTTAAGCCAGATTCTAGCTCATATATAACAAGCTATTATTTCTAATTATGAAAGTAAAAATAGTCTAAAAGTAAAATAAAACAGAAAAAAATCGAGAAAAGTATGTAAAAAGATAGCTATGCAGAAAATAATCCTTTATTAAGATTCATAAAAATGTTAAAAATGGTAGATAAATTTTATAAAATCAGTGCTTCTTAAGCAACAATACTGCAGCTCTGGTTACGAACAAATTCAGTTTTATTCTTAAAATCGTGATTCAGACATTTATGTCCAAACTGCGCCCCCACCTCAAACCACGCTATTTCTCTCTCTCTCAAACCTGTAACACTTGCCAAATGCAAAATTAATTTTAAGATCATTTACTAATGATTCTATAAATTAGCTAGAATTAAAATGGACTTTTGACAAGCTTTTCCCCATCTGAACTTTCTTCATTCTTCAGTTATAATTAACAGAAATTTTACACAAATGTACTTGAAGAAATTAAGGCATAATAATAAATTAATTAGCAGTCAGTAATTATTTTGCTGCACTTATACCTGAGCTATTGACCTTACTCATATGTTAAAACACAGCCACTGTAGAAGAGTTAACCAATGAACATGTTCACTCTGCAACTAATTACTGTAATGGGGAATGATGAGAACAAGTCAGTGGTATGGAAAAGACCAGACACATATGAAGAATTCTCCCTGACAATTATCTGTCCCAGCCAATGTGTCCAAGCTATTCCTAAACAAAGCACTGCAAAGTAAGAGCTACACTTACAGCTAGAAGAAAATTAAACAAATTCAACTATGTTACAGAATTAAAAAAATAAGCCTAAATCTGCCCTGCTGGGAGACATGTCAAAATATATGAAACAAGCAGATTTAGCCTAGCTTAGGACCCTATGCTCTGAAATATCAGTCCATCGTACAGCTACATCATGTTCTACTACACACAAGCACTATGTTGACTGTATGATTTACAGTAACAGCACAAATACAAACATCTTCTTCAAAATATTCCCTGATTTAAAACATCTTTGTTAAACAATGCCACAAAGTGGAAATACAGTCTTACAAGACAAACAAATTCTGTAACATTCAAACAAACTGCAAAGAGAAGCACAATTAGAATTCCCAGTAACCCCGTTAATCCCAGTTAATCCTCCTCAGATTTAGGATCTGTTCACAAAGTTAAACACAATGAAATCACAAACAATCACACCCTTTCCTAGTTAGATTTTCCCCAGTTCCACGACCCAAATGATGGTAAAAGAACAAACTAGTATCGCATATGAAGAAAACGTTAATGAGTTAAATGAATATGTTATTTCAGTGCAAGTTTTTTTTCCCTAAATCTGTGCCAAAAATCTGAGACCTAGGACTGGATTGTGTTTCGTACAGATGCATCCACACAAGACAATAAAAACTGCATGAACTGACAGCATGGAGTTTCTAAAAATAGTCACACTCTAAAACAGAAGTCATTCCCAAGACCAGGAATATGAAAATAAGACTATTTATGTTTTTAAGGCAGACAGAAACATGTCAAAAACACTTTCTTCTACAGAAACTTATGTACAGTGTACCAGTACAACTCAGTGGTTTTGCTGAAAACACAAGGGTTCAAGTAGCCTGGGCACCACACAACAGAACTTATTTCACTGTGAGTAAAACAATCTCTGAAATGTAAGAAGTGTTTCCACAAGTAGTAGTATTCCTGTATTTGAAGTAGCAAGTAAAAATGCTACCAACAGTTTCAGGGTTTTGGGGGGGGGTGGGGTGGTGGTGTCTTTTTTTTTTTTTTTTTTTTTTTTTTAAGGAAAAGAAGGGGCATTAGATGACAGCAAGATTTTTCTATATGACCCAGATGTCTGAAGTTAAATGGAACAGTGATGCACAGGATTATTTACTTTTTCAAAATGAATCTTAAAAAGCTAGAAACAGTATCAGTTTTCTTTAAAGAACAGAAAACACACATAACCTTAAGGATAAACAGCACCATATATAAACATTATGCTGTCAATCTTCCATACTCGATCTCATGCTTGACTGCTCTAACAAAGAATGGATGGATAAATACGTAAGAGGAAACTGAGCCACCCACTCCTAGCTGATAAACTTGAATTCAAAAATGTAGCACTGACGCAAAATAATTATGACTTGGTAACCTTCCCGAAAGGAGCTAATGGTCTACATTGAATTTGTAGTGACCAAACAGCCATGACAAAAAACCATCCTTGATCCATGATTCTGACATGTCAGCTGGCAGCTCCAGGAGAGCAACACAGAACAAGACGTGATTGCAGATGACTTCTATTCTCATTCACCTTTACAGCTACACCTTCAAAAAGCAACAAAAAGTAAAATTTATCTTAAAAATGAAAGAAAAATAAAGCTAGCATTGCAATCCTTACAATTCTTCCTTTTAAAAGCAAAACAAGCTCAAAATTAACTTATCTACCTAGACTAGCAATCAATCTAATGGACTGAGAAAACAGGCATCATTCCTTGCCTGCTATACAGCTACTGAAAAGGAAGTGAATCGGTATCCTATTGTCTACCAGAATTCACACCTGCAATCTTGTGTGTCACTGCACTGAAAACTGGGTTTGCAGTTTTCACTATACTGACCCGCTTCAATTATCCTATAGGAAACAGAAAAAACAAAATCTATTTTCTCAAGATGCAGCTCCAAGAAAATTTGATGAAGCAGCGAGAAAGTTCAGAGATCTAAGCAGCAAGAAAAACAACACTTAAAAACCTAAATGAATAGTTTCCCCCTGGCTTAGCTTCCTTAAACATCTCATCTGCAGGATCAGATACTGCCAGCGCAAGAAATAGGTGGGAAGACATTGTGTGCAGGAACATCAGAATTATGCAGTGTGGATTTATTAAGGAACCATGGCCTCAGACCATAGAAAGATATCAGAAAACAGTAGCTCCAAAAAGCTAGAAGTCACAAAGTTTTCTCAACACTTTCTCAGTAATAATAGTAATCTCAGTAATAATAGTGTCAACATTAACACTCTTCTGGCAGTTGAATCACTGACCTTTCACTATCTTTGTCTCCAGGCTCTGTATTTACACCAGTACAACGGAACAAAAGCTTCACATTTCCACATCACTGACCATGTTTAACCGTCCTCATTCCCTCTTGAAAGAAGAGCGGCTGTTTCAGTACTTAAGTAATTGTATTCCCACATATGGAATAACATCTATCTCAAACAGCTTAGAGAGGAGGAGTATCTGTCACAGGGCTAACACCACAATTATTCTTCACTAGTAGTGAGAGCTTTGAGTCCAACAGATGTGCCGGTTCACAAGCAGAAATACTACTGTAACTGGAAAAGTTGATGAACTGCTAGTGAAATCTCAGACATGAATCACCATACTGAAAGAAAAATTCAGAAGCAGGTTCCAATGACTGCTAAAATGCAGTGTTTATGTACACGGTCTCAATCGAGTAGTCTCCGAAATTCAGATATTAAGGTTTCAGGTGTAAACTTAGGGATGTTTTCAAGTTAATGAAAAAAGCGAAGTTTCGGTGTTCGCGAAGATTTAATAAGCACAGTATCAAACTGGATTTGTTAATTCATTCTTTATCTAGCTAATAAATCCCACCCTGTATGGACCTTGCCAGTCACCCAGAGCCATTTTTCACACCATGCTCTTCAGCACTTTGAGGTTCAGAACTACATTAAAGAGTCATCCAAGTTGATCCTGCATAGATCCAGGGTACACCTGGCACAATTTCTTAGCTTAATACTCCATCTCTGACTAACACGCTGAAATCACAACAGTGACACATCACCACCTAAGAAATACTGACTACGTGATCAAGAGAGTTTCTCTTAACACTTTAATCCTTTTACTGATTTATATGGAAATAAAAATGTAATGTAGGAATCTCCCAGGTACCAGTTCAATTACTTCCACCTTCAACTACACTTTCACCAATCTTTTAATAGACATTGGTTGAATAAGAGTTAGTGGTGAATCAACTTGAGAAACCAATTTGGTTTTTAGACTCCCAAGATGTGTTTCCAGGACTAGTAGCTGTCAAAAACAACAATTTCCATTATTTGTAGGCTAAATCAAGTTTGAGTGGAAAGTTATTTAGAAGGAAACCAAAGACGACATTTTCACAACAAAACCACATTTGAAAAGAGGAGAAAATTAAGAACAAACTAGACAGCTTTTTGTTTGCTAACACATACTTTCTCCATCTCCATCCTTATCGAATTCTTCAATCATAGCCCGTAGCTCTTCATCAGACATATTTTCACCCAATTCTCTAGCAACCCGGCGCAGGTTCCTCAGACTTATTTTACCAGAGTCATCATCATCAAACAATTTGAATGCCTTGAGTATTTCTTCTTGTGGGTCTCTGTCCAATATCCAGTCCGTCACTATAAGAAGCATACTTAAGTTAGACCAAAAAATTCTGCAGGGTAAACTCAGAATGACCTTAGCAGACTGGGGCAATATGAAGAACACACACTTCTGATTTCACCCGTTCTCTCATTTTTATATATTTGAATTCAACATGCATATTTGTTTGGCTGTTATCTGACCTCTCTTTCTCCTCTCTCTTTTCTCAATCTGAGTTTCTCTTTGGGACATATCTGTTGCTGTGGAAAGCTTCATGGCAATTTGGACAGAGTGATGCTTTCAACACACTTTTCAATAGGAATTAAAAGTATACACGTCCCCTCTCTGCTCCACACTTACCTTTCAGAAAAACTATCCGCTCTGACAGATGAAGACATTAATTTTTTTTTATTTTATATGTTTTGATCAGGACAGAATTTTGACTTGGAGAGAATACTAAAACACTAAGTAATGAAAAACATTCACATGAAACCTCTCTGTTAAATACAAAACCACACTAAAAAAAAAAAAAAAAAACAAAAAACTGAAGCCCAGGGGTTATGAAAAGGACACTGCTATGAACTTCAAGATGTTAATTCTGAAAGGATTCATCAGTCTTTACTATTCCTTTTATCACAACCATTTGTCAGTTTCTGTAACTGAAAAGACAAACTTGCCACATAAAATATTTTTCAAGTAATTATTTCAGACCAACCAACCCTAATATATGTCCACATCTTTGTACCTGCTAGTCTTGTATTACAGTGCTAGCTATTTATGACTTTCATCAAGCCATTAAAAACACATCAACTCCGTTTGTGCACAGAGAACCACTTAGCATCTGTTACTGTCTGCAGGTGGAATGCCTGCTCTGGCTTAGTGAACTTGACAGGAAAAAATTAGATTCAAGCTCTTATAAGCTCACTACAGCAATGAAGTTTATATGTGTTCATAAACCCCTCAAATTTATATTAAATTTAAATATTTTCTTGAGAAATTCTGCCTTTTGTGGCAAAAAGACAACTGCGATATCAGCTAAAAACAGTAAAACACTAGGTCTCGAAATACTACAGGTAACATGATTGTATAAAGCAAGACAAAATGTAATTGCATCTTTATATATTTCAGATGGGTCATTTCTCTACATTTAAAACCATAAATAACACTAAATTATGAAAAATTGATGGCTCAAGAATTGCTTAGTTATTTTCAGCAGCTCTTCATAATTAAAGCTTCTATAACCTATTTTCCTCTAACTCCCTTATCTTTCTGCCAGAAGTGCTATCCTGTTTAATTCTGTGGCAAGGTCATATTGTGTCATAGCAGCACTGAAATCCAATTCAAGTTTTTGGATAGGTTTGATGGCGTTTCAAGTATATACTGTGCTTCCTACAAGAATTTTCCTAGCTTCTCACAGCACTTACTAACTGCCTGTATTGATACCCAGGACAGAACAATGAACAATGACAGGACTGAACAAAGAATTACCCAGTAATTACAGTATAATCAGTTATATAATATAGCATAATGATGTAATTATAGTAGTAGTAGTAGTATTACTATTAAATCAATACCCTCACTTTTTTTTTTTAAATTAAATCGGGACTGATCATGTATATTTACCCATAGGCTTTATTTTTGTTTTTTTTTCTGACTTATAATTTGCTCTAACCTGGAATACAACTAAAAAATATTATCTGTCATTAACAACACACTTTGTTCAATCCTAACCTGTTAAATCATTAAGATTTGCTACATTTCAACCAATAACTGTTTTGTCACATTAAGTAGATTGTTATTCATAGCCAAGAGTAAATACATATGTACTGCACTGTTGGTTTCTTTTTTTGATTTGGTTCTTTTTTTGGATTTTTTTTTGTTGTGTGTTTTTTTTTTTTTTCTCATTTTTCCCCAGAAAATTTACATAAATCTAATAACTTGAACACATGGACTGGAATAATGAAATAGAGATATAAAGCCATACATGGAGAAATCTCACACAGCTTATTTTTTACTAAATGCAAATTTTATGCAAAACTATATATTATGTGTAACAACCAAAAAAATCTTCAAAGCAACTTAAACTCTAACCTCTAAAAATTCTGCAGATCACTACATACACAAAGTATATCAAGCTTTGCAATACACAATCTTCACGTGAAAGAAACAGCCTAATGAAATTCCACTGCTTTTATCAACAGCTGAAAATCCTTGAAGTATAATATTTAACATTTGCCCCAATTTCTCTTCTCTTTGTTATAGATGAAGTCTATGTTCAATTTACAGTTTGTCTGTGCATAAAAATGAAATTCAATGCCAAATACTTTTTCCACAGCAAGAAGGAGATTCTTACAAAATCCATAGACAACACAAGAATATCTACATTTTAAGTTAGCATTTATTCCTTTGTATAAGTTTGAAAAAGATTAGGTCTGTGTATACTCTGTTTCCTTTTATACCGTGGGTATCATTCATCTCTACATATCAAACTCAGTATTCAGAATACAAAGATTTATTCTCCTCCACTATTGACTTTTATTAAGAAAAATACGAAATGAAATCTCCCACTTTATTTCTTAACAGTACTAGATAACTGAAAAAGTACACGAGCTACTGTTTCCAAATTGCAGTCATGACTATAGGCTAAATTTCTCTAAAGGCACACAATCAAACACATACCAACTTCATTAAAATCTTCAAAGGTGATCTTGCCTGTCGCTTCTCGATCATAATCTTTAAGTATTTTCAGTACATCAGCTTTTTTCACATCAAAACCCAAGGCTCTCATTGCCACCTTTTGGAATAAAATGGAAGTGCAACCATATATGAAGATTAAAATACAGATTTAACAGATTTATTTTCATTTTCAGTAATTACCTTCTTGCCCAACAGAGAAGGTGCATATCAGCAGTTTAGTAACAATAATAAATAAAATTAATAAAAGGAAAAAAGCTTTGGATACAGAAATCACCTAAAACTACTATTAGCCAATGGAACATCAAGTTACAGCGGAAAAAAATAGCCTTCGCATTTTCAAGGATTTTACAGACTGAACCAAAAGCTTCTTAGGACAAGTAGATTTATCTTCCTCACTTCCAAAAACATTTCAAGCACTGACCTTTTTTCAAAGACAAAACTGAAAATCGTTCTTCAAATTATTCTTCTTCAGCATTCATACTAAGCGTGTATACATTCATGAGTTTACAAGTCCTCTTACAAGTGACTTTACTGCTTTTCCACTGAACAACATAAACCAACCTATTTTTTATTTTTCCATTAGGTTAGGAGTACATGTTTAGTTTCTCATTTCAACCAAGACAGAAATTTCTCAGCATACACTACCTTGACTTCCTCCAAAATGATGAACATACACCCTTCCAGAAGTGGAAAACCACAATCCTATTGGATGTAGCCATTCAAAAATCTATACTATATGCTGATTTTGTAGAAAAGGACATAGTCCTTTCCTTTATGTATTTCTGTTCTTTCATAGTATTATCTTCAGGGCCACAATATTTAATTAGCCACCTAAGAAACAGCTTTGCAAGTAATCGTGACTGGGAATTCAAAGCGTACCGTAAGTGGCAAAAGTGTATTAACAGTCTCGAAACAGTCCCCAGTACTATCCCACTCACTGTGGCTTCCAGTAAAGATAAAACGCCTGAACGCTGAAATAGAGGGAATCACTACACCAAAGACATCCCTGTAACAGCAACTAAAGTAAAAATAAGAATTCTTTTTCCCCCCACCTCTTTGAGTTACTTGGTAGAGCCAGAATATGGAGCCAGCAGGTTGGACTAGGTATGCTTTCCCAAAAGAATTTCACCTAATATGTGACAGAAACACAGGCCCCTCCAATGCCACTTTTTGTTCTTGATGCAGTATAATTAGAATAAAAATTCATAAAACACTTAAAGAGACTTTAACAAACTTCATGTACTGCTTCTACGGACTTCCAGACGGGAGGTCTCACTCGGAAAGGCTGCTATCCTAACCTCCATTTGCCGATAGCTATTAACAAGAGAACCCTTCATTGGGATTGCTGAACCTCCCACATGCACAGCAAATAGCATATCTCATTCCTACAATCCATAGGTTCCCTGTTGAAAAATACAAATGGGTAAGCTCTGGCTTGTAGTCAACAGTTTTACAAATTTGATTTACATTTTTTTTACCTAAGCATCTGAAACCTGTGAATTTTCACAACATCAAGCTTTAGATTATACAGTGCCCTTAAAAAGAACATAACAGCTTTTCAAGAGCTTTTCCCACTTAGTCATCTGTCCAAGCTAAACCCTGAGCAGCATTCAGGCTAGTGTTATGGAATGCTACAGCAATTCTATTACTGTGTCAAGCATATAGTGTGGAAAGAAATGCTTGTTCTTACATCAATGCAGTATTTCCTTTTTTTTTTCCCCCTTCCAATGTCCTCACTCCTTTAGCTCAGCAAGAGATCCTGAATGTGGAGCATTTTTTAAAGATACAGCCAACATCTTAAAAACTCACTAAAAAACAGATAAATATTATCTGCCATAAAACTGTTTAAATGAAAAAAACTTTTACCTTTAATTCATGATAATTTATTGCTCTATCTTTGTCTGTATCAAACAACTCAAAGGCATCTTTAATTTCTTGCCTCTGTTCCTCAGTCAGTTCTCTTCTTTTCTTCTTTTTAGTTTTGTCTACTGAAAGGTCATTCCTATGTAAGAAGAAAGAAATTAAGTGTAATTGATTTCTACTGGGAAGATACCACTGTATATAACATTTTCCACCAATAAGAAACTCACCATAATTGCACAGATCACTACCTTACCCATTCCATCCTTTCCCAGCTTGTCATCCCAGTTTAAAATAACACTTGAAATAGACAATTCCTTTGTGAAAGCTGAATGACCCCTCCACTCCCCCACTCGAAATAAAATCAGCACAGGCATTTGGTTAATAAATAACAGCAACAACAAAAAAAGAGGGTAGGAAAACTACCAGTTAAAAAGAATACCTGAGGTTACAAACTAGAATAGCAGTTGAAATGATACAACTCCTGAAAACACTTTCTTTCTAAACTGGAGCTTAGAAAGAAGAATTTTGAGACAGACAGGCCACTGGAGGCTTAACTAGATCAGACAACTGGGTTGTCTGGCTACTAAAGTGGGCATTAGGTGCCACAAATCAGCTTTGTTACCAGTACCAGTTCTTAGATAAATGTCATTTACAGATTAATTTTTTTTTAATCCTTTAAATCAACACACATACACACTGTTCTAAAGACTTTTTGCTGATTTGATATACACAAAAGAGACAAGCCCCCAAATCAGGAAATCTTGCTCAAAGACAGCCTTCTTTTCCTTGGCTAGTTTAGAAAGAACATTACATTTTCAGATAACAGACAAAAAATAAGTGATTCATATATTGGTAACAACAGTTAAAAAACTGAAAAAGATGGCACTGATCAAAGATACTCTGGACCAAGCTAGTAGAGGGTCAATTTTGCTGTAACTATGCTTTATTTACATCAATGAAATTCACTGCTGTATCCAGAGTAATTGCTTGGAAGGTGTTCATTTCAGAGCAAGAACTCTACCAAAAAAAAAAAATATTAGTACTTTTGAGATAACAGGTGATATCAACTAAGACTGTTACAGTACTCAATGTACACTCTTGGAAGAAGTGGGTATCTGTGATGCTCAGTAGCATACTATCGCTGTGATAAGCATGGCTAACTGCAGTGGTAAATCCTCTCCGTTCTGTCATCATGAGGCCACATCAGATGTACCAGCTCCAGCTGTGGACACCTCAGTACAAGACAGATGTACCGAAAATTGATAAAGCCTAAGGCAGAGTACCATCCCTGGTGGCTGCCGCACATGGTGCACAAGAAGCAAAGGGAGCTGGGTTTATTTAGGCGAGGGTCAGTGAGGCAGAGAGACCAGGCGGGAAAGCGCTAAGGAGATGGGATCTAAGTGCTGCCCTTCATTACCTAGAGGGTTATTACACAGAAGACAGAGACAGGTTCTGCTCAGAGGAGGGCAGTGAAAGGACAAGAGACAATAACTACAGAATGCAAGAGGAGAAATTGCAGGTGGATCTAAAGGGAAACATTTTCACAGTGGGAGTGTTTATGCGCCGGAACAGTTGCACTGCGAGACTGAGGAGTCCTCATCATCAAAAATTTTTGGAACTCAAATGGAAAAGGTGCTGAGCAACCTCATTCAGTTTTGAGTGGGACCTGCTCTGAGCAGAAAGATAGACTAGGTAACTTCCAGAAGCCTTTCCTAACCTAAATTTATTGTATCATGCTCTCAGAAAAAGCCTCTTTACACTCATTTGTTTATTTGCAGCAGATGCAAAATGCGTGCTGTGTCACCTGCTGTAAAATGCATAAAAATTACTGATGAGTGAACAGAAAATTGCTTTTCAAGGATATTTATTTTCCAAATGTCCTGTAATAAGCTGCTTTTTCTTCTCCTTTGTTATGGATTTGCTAATTTTAATCAAAATCAAAGATTAAACAGACAGCTGGGATTTAGCTTTCAGCAACCACTGAAGCTACACCAGTAAAAATTCCAAATATAGACAAGAAAAGCGCAAGCTGCACAAGCTGAACCTGCCTCAGACAGCAATATCCTCAGAGTCAGAAGTCCTTAGCAGACCAATTGGGACAGTGTGATTTCACACAGGCTTTGGATTACTCTAGCTTTTGGAAGGACTAAAATAACTCTTGAGTTGGCTACATAATTAGGACTGGGAGAACAGCTCAGATCCAGAGAGCTCACATTTTGTGAGCTGTGACGATGAAATCCATTTAGAAGCCTGAAAGCAGATTAACGCCGAACTCTTCTGGAAGAAGGATTTGGCTACTCAAGTGTTTATTTAGTGCTTAGCTTAAAATAATTTTTTCAAAAGATAGAATAGTACTTAAACGCAAGTAGTTTAGTGCCACTTCTACAACTGCTTTTATCATATGAAGCGTGAAGTTCTTGGACTTCAAAAATTAAGGATCACATATGCCATGTAAGCATATTTATTATGCCTGAAGACAAGGATTTGCCAGGTATAGAACTCATGAAGCGGTCCCCTTTATAGAATAATTACTGAATCAGAATTAAAGAAAACGAAGCAAAACAAAACTCAATAGCCCAACTTAACGCCCATTAAAAGGCTTTTTGACGGCTTATTACTTTAGACAATCCAGAAGCGAACGCCTCGAAGCCAGACGCGACGGGC